TCTTGCATCCTATCGGCAGAAGGCACATCGGGCAATAGTTGTCGCTGTCCACGGGGTCCCCCTTCTTGTATATAATTGTCACCTTTGCCTCGCGCCATGCATCGGGGGCGCGCCCCGCCCCCCATGCCACGTCGCAGAAACGAGTGACCCACTCGAGCGTCGCGGCGCCGACTTCGGAGGCCGCTCTCCCGAATGCCGGGCGTTAGCTGCCCAAGCCTCCAGCTCTGCCTTGCTTGCGTTTGCCCGCTGCTTCCCTTGCTTCCTCCTGCGCGATCGGGTCGAAGACGATCGGCAGCTCGCTGCCGTGCGCGCTATCGGTTGGCATCGCCGTCGCCGGTCGCACTGCCCTCTGCGCCCGCTCGAGGTGCGCCGCCAAAATGTCAGCCCAGCAGTCGCTATCCACGACCTGGCCCGCATCGTTTTTTTGAGTCCCCCCTACTGCGGACAAAAACCCTTCCCACAGCTTTCTGATATCGCCCCAGTCCCCGTTCGCCGTTACCTCCTGCAGCCAGGCGGCCTGGTCGTTAGCGACAGCTGTTTGATATGTTTCGTTAGCCTCTCGTCTTCGGCTGCGTCTCCCATCTGTCGAGCTGCCGCTCGGCGGCCTATCAGCTGCAAGGTTGAAGGTCGCGCCCAAGGTTTCCTCGGGCGTCGCGTCTTCCGCCGCGAAACCTGCTCCGCGAGCAGGCGCCAGGCTTCGGGGAAAGCCTTGAGCACGTTGGCAAGCTTGTCAGTGAACCGCCGCCGGGTCTCGACGTCAGCCAGCTGCGACACGTCTGCCTCGGCATTGCCAGTGCTCGAATGCGTCTTCCCCACCTTCGCGCGGACGCGCGCCTGGAGCAAGAAATGGCGAGATGAGAGCGGCGTTTCCCTGCGCGCGTTACGCAGCCAGTTCTGCGAGCGCAACGTGAAATCGACGCGGGAACGCGCGCACCAGCCCACTGGTTCGCCGAAAGGGCACCCCACGTTGTAGCTCGCGGCTAAATCCCGCTGCGAAGCTAAGAAGAACGCATTGGACAAACACATTTTCAGCTGCGCGCGCATCTCCACCAGTAGGCGCCGACTCGCGCCAGCGCGACAAATTTGCCCAGGGCGCCGGAACACGCGCGGGTCAATAATCAGGGCTTCGCCGTCGAAACTGTCACAAATTTTAACACCGAAGCCCCCCAGAATCAAATTCGGGCCACGCGATGACTGAGCCTGAACAAATTTGCCAGCATCGGCAAAATCCACGCCGGCCTGGATATTCAAACCCACCGCGCGGAAAGCAAGCCGGAAAAATCACCGCCTTGCCCCAGATACGCTCAATTTCAATGAGGACATTATCCGACAGTTGACTGTCTGAAGACGGGGCCCATTATGAACCCCACTTCTGCCCTACTCCCCCCCCCCCCTTCCGCCTCGCCAGCGCCGCCAGGCAGCGCGACGAGGCACCTGGTCTCACTCGCGAACGCGTCTGACTTGGGCCTCCAAGTTTCTTGGATTCACAAAACTTTGATACCGCAGCATTGCATCATGACCTCTAGCTGTACTCGTTTAGCTTCGGTGTATCCTTGTATGTTCCAGGGCGGAATCGCAAATTCTTCGTTTCGCACAGGTCGCAAAAAAACGGCCTCGCATAATATGCAGCGGCAAAATGGCTTCACCACCCCGTCGCCCTTGGCCTGTGGGAAGCTGGGCACGAGGTTGAACATCTCGGCAATTGGGCAATTGCTGCTGGCAGCTCCCATCGCTTCCTGGCGGGACATCCTTGCTCACGCCTCGCTGGCCCCACTAGCGGCCCCCCCTTCCCAAAGTCTTCGCGCTTGGACTTCCCCTTCCTCGCGCCTTCGGCAGGGTCGCGCTTGAGCCCCCCCCTCAACTTATTCGCCGAGTCTGCGAATTCCGCGGAGTCCGCACTCGCAAGCCACTCCTCCCATCCTGGCCCGCATCTAACATCGAGCTCCATGTCGTCGGTCATTACCTTCACCGCCGCGCCCTCCCCTGCCCAGACGTTGCCAGCCTCTGGGTCTGCCCGCGCGCTGCTCGAAATGAAGCCCCAGTCATTCAAAACGCATTTGACCCCGAAGACAAATGAGGTCACGATGCATTTGCGGAGCCCCTGGTCTGCTTTCGCACGCACCGTGTTGCCACCTTTCTTGAACGAGGCCTTGCGGATCGCATTGACGGCCTCGTTGCGGTCTGCGACGTCTGCGAGTCTCGCGAACACGATACCCCGGAACTCCCCTTTAGAGTAGATGTCGACCGGCTGAGGTGTGTACCATTCCCAGAGCTCGTTCTCAATAAAGGCCTTCGCACTCTCGATGCTCCCCGACGCCTGCAGCCCGCCGATCACTGCCGAGTTGTTCTTGGACTTAGAATTCGCTTTGTTCTTGATAGCTCGGAGTTGTTGCCGTATTTCCTCATCGGCCCGGGGGCTGGCGCACGAGCCCTCCGGCGTTCGGCTCTCGCAGGTCGCCATGCGGATTTCCAGGCTCTCGAGGCGCTTCTCCGTGGCCTGCATCCTGGTGTAGAACGCGTCGCCCAACTCGCCAACCTTACGCTCGAGCCTGGACATCGCGCTTCGCACGGGATGAACATCATGCTTCAGCAAGTCGGCAATCGGCTGTAAGGTAAGGGGCCTGCTGGTATCGTGCCTCAGGTGCTGCTCCTTGTTGATGTCGTGAAGGTACCTCTGTTTTCAGATGTGCTTCCGGCGGCGCCGTAGGAGTTGCCATCACGTGCACCTCTGGTCGGGGAGGGGAGACGAGGACAGCGAGATCTTCCATCTCGTGGAGCGGACTGAACAAGCGTTGGCGTAAGTCGCGCTCAAGTACTCCCCGAACTGGAATCCTTGGCGCTCGCTTGCCAGCCGTAACGAGATATGGGAACGCGATGGGAATGCCAGGGTACTGTAAGAGGATGTGTAGAAGACGTAGGCGAAACTTGAGCCAAACCCTCGAGCCAAAATGGCCCAAAATGGCCTCCAAGACGGCCAACACGGCCCAAGATGGCCTCCAAGTTCGCCCAAGGTGGTCCAAGATGGCCTCCAAGATGGCCCAAGAGGGTCCAAGATGCCTTTTAGTCCGCGTAAGAAGCCACCCAGACGGCCCAAGAGGGCCCTCAAAGAGGCCTCCAAGACGGCCCAAGCGGACTCCAAGAGGTCCTTCAGAAGGGCCCGAAGAGGCCAAAATTATGTGTTTGCGTTAGGCTTTCGAATGAGTTGGGCATTTGTTTCTTTTCGGCCTTCCGACAGCCCAAGACGGCCCAAGATCGCCCCAAAGATCGCCCCAAGATGGCCCCAAAGGCATCCAGGATGACCTCATGACGGCCGAATAAGCCTACAAGACGGCCCCGAGAAGCCTCCAAGTTCGACCAAGATGATCCAAGATGGCCTCCACAACGGCCCAAGAGGGTCCAAGATGCCTCCAAGTCCGCCCAAGAAGCCTCCAAGACGGCCCAAGGCGGCCCAAGAAGCCCCTAACAAGCCTCCAAGACGGCCCAAGCGGCCTCCAAGAGGTTCCCAGGAGGGCCCGAAGAGGTCAAAATAATGTGCTTGCGTTCGGCGTTCGAGTGATTCGGCATTTGTTTCTTATCGGCCTTCCGACGGCCCAAGATGGCCCAAGAGGCCCCAAGATCGCCCCAAGGTGGCTACAAAGGCCTCCAAGATGACCTCATAACGGCCCAATAAGCCTACAAGGCGGCCCCAAGACGGCCTCCAAGTTCGCCCAAGATGATCCAAGATGGCCTCCACAACGGCCAAGAGGGTCCAAGATGCCTCCAAGTCCGCCCAAGAAGCCTCCTAGACGGCCCAAGAGGCCCCCAAGGGGCCCCCAAGACTGCCCGAGAGGCCTCCAAGAGGTCCTCCAGGAGGGCCCGAAGAGGCCAAAATCAATGATGTTCGTTCAGTGGTTAACAGATGTTGGCAGTTGTTTCTGTTCGGCCTTCCGACGGCCCGAGACGGCCCAAGAACCTCCCAAGATCGCCTCAAGATCGGCCAAGAGGCCTCGAAGATGGCACCAGGACGGCCCAAGAGGCCCCCAAGACGGCCCCAAAAGGGCCCAAAAGGCCTCCAACACGCCCGAGATGGCCTCCACAACGGCCTTGGAAAGTCGGTGCAGAGGGACCCCCAAGACGGCTTCCGACGGCGTCAGACGGGTCCGGAACGCCCTAAGTCGGCCAAAGAGGCCCCAAAGAAGACCCCAAACGTCCCCAAGAGGCCCAAGGAGGTCCCCAAGATGCCTCCAAGAGGCCCCTAGAAAGCTCTCATCGGGAGGCGCCAAGAGTGCCCCCAGAGGCTCCTAAGATGCACCCTCGTCCTCCTCCTCCTCCTCCTCCTTCTCCTCCTCCTCCTGATCGTCCCCGCCATCCTCCCCCAGGTGTTCCCCGGAAGGTTTCCACAACGGCTGGGGGGAACACATGGTCCGATGGCTTGGCAGAGCTCTGGCCACAACGATCGGCCACATGGCGATTCCAAAAGGCATGAGGCGGCGGTGATTCGCCGTAGGCGTCTTCGAAAAGGATGCGCGGTAAGGACGCGGATGACGGCACGATTCGAGCTGGGCTGGCCATCGAAAATGGTTGAGCATTGACCGCGGATGGCCGAAGAGGAAAGCGTAAAATCGGAGGCGAGCCCGGGGAAGTGAGCAGGGGCGGGCCTTCTCAGAAGGCTCGGAAGTCTTCCGGCCATCAAAAGTTTCTGAAGCCTTCCCAAAGACCCAGACAACTTCTCAGAACGCGCGAGGGCTTCTGAGAAGTCCCGCCGCCTTCTGAGAGGGACTTCTCCTTCTCATTTCCCCCCTCGATCGCCGCCGATGCAAGGGTGCCCGTGGGAAGTCGATCATCCTTGCTATCAGTGTCGACTGGACTGCCGATTCCTTAGGCGGCGCCCAAGAGGGAGGGGGGGCGCAAAGGGGCGCGGCGGGGGCCATTCTGAGAAGACATGCGGGCTTCTTAGGTGTCCTCGCGCCACCCTCTTGTGGGCGCTGCCAGTGATGACCCCATCGAGGCGGGGGCGTCACCTGTTGATCTGCCCGAAGGTGATCTCCGAGGTCTCCTCGTCGGAGTCGGACAGGAACACCGAGAAGAGAGGCATCCGCAGGGAGCCGGCCTCGAAACCCCGACGCGGAGGAGACTCAGTGCGAAGGAGGAGGCGGAGGAGGAGGAGGGGGAGGAGGAGGAGGAGGAGGAGGAGGAGGAGGAGGAGGAGGAGGAGGAGGAGCAGGAGGAGGAGGAGGAGGAGGGGGGAGGAGGGGGAGGAGGGGGAGCAGGGGAGGCAGAGTAGCGAGGGGGCGAAAGGAGAAGAGCAGAGAAGAGAGAAAGGCAGAGGGGAGAGAGCAGGGAAAAGGGAAAAGAAGGAGGAAGGAGTAAAAAGACGGCGGTGGAGAGTGGAGAGCGGGGGGCAAGGTGGAGGAGGGGCGGAAGAGGAGAAATCCATCCTTTCGTCCCCTTCTCTCATCTGGTCCTTTCCCAACAACTCCCTTCCCTTCGGCTCACCCCCACCCTCCACCTGGAGGCCCCCTGGAGGTCTCTAGAGGAGTCCAGACTCCATGGGAGCCCTCCAGAGCCCATCTGGAGGCTTCCCTAACTCGTTCCCCCCCAACTCTTCTTCCTATTATTTCTCCTCCTCCTCCTCCTCCTCATCATCATCATCATCATCATCAGCAGCAACATCACCAGCATCATCAGCAGCATCATCAGCATCATCATTATCATCAGCAGCAGCATCATCAGATCATCCACATCATCATTATCGTCGTCATCATCAGCATCATCATCAACATCACCACCATCACGACCATCACCATCACCATGAACACCAACACCAACATCATCATTGATCATCATCACCACCACCACCATCACCACCACCACAATCATCATCACCAGCATCATCATCATCATCATCAGCATCATCAGCATCACCATCATCATCACCACCACCACCACCACCACCACCATCATCATCATCATCATCATCATCATCACCACCACCACCACCACCACCACCATCATCATCATCATCATCATCATCATGATCACCATCACCATCACCATCACCATCACCATCACCATCACCATCACCATCACCATCACCATCATCATCATCATCATCATCATCATCATCATCATCAGCATCAGCATCAGCATCAGCATCAGCAGCAGCAGCGGCATCACCCTCCCCCTCCCCCTCCTCCTCCCCTCCCCTCCCTCCCCTCCTCCCCGCCTCATCTGAATGCCTCCTCCTCCCCTCTCCTCGCTCCCCCCATGGCACGAGCGACAGGGATCCTGGCGAGAACGGGCCGCTCTCCCGAGTCCCGGGCCGTGGACCCCCAGGCCAGCCCCTCGCCCCGCGTCGCTCCCTGACGCTCCCGTGGCCCAGGCGACGCCCCGACCCGAGAGCCCGAACACGGCCCACTGGAACGCCTGGAAGGGGTGTGCAAAAAATGGGCACGATGCCCAGCAACAAACGTGGCCCAAGACCGGCGGTGGCCGCTGTTGGGCCGGCGGCCCTCTGTGTCAAATGAACAGCGTCTGCGGCGGCACGGACAGCGAGTCCTGCGCAGAATGATCGGGGAGACGTAAGACTCGGGTACGGGGGACTCGGGTTGGCCTGACGAGGGCCATCATGAAAATGACGAGACCCAATTGAAACTTGACGCGGGCTCCCGCTGCAGACATCCCACGAAAACGTGACCGTCAAAATCCAGGATGCACTCGTCAAAAAAAAGTCGGCAAACCCGAGTTCCGGCTTACTCGAGTCTTACGTTTCCCCGAAATGAAAAAGGGATGCCGGTGGTCCTACCTGTCTCGATCGTCCCGACCTATCCCGTACCTACCTCCATCGGGCGAGGACCGACTCCCTTACCTGCTCACTTCCCGTGCCCGATTCCCGGACCTATCCCGCACCTGGGAAAATCAAAAGGTACCGATACCGCTACTGCCTGGGCCTCTCCCGGGCTGCGTTCTGACCAGAACTTCGAAGGGAATCTAGCGGTGGCGACGAGGGCCTCCCAGGAAAGGGGAAAAAACGGGCGAAGGGTCGCAGTATGGGTACCTTTTCCTCCTCTGAGTACAGAAGAAAAGACGGCATAAACGTACAGCCGGTTCGGCAGGCGCCCCCAAAGTCAAATCGACAAATCGGATCGGCGATCGAAATGAATCGGATCGGCAAAATCGGAAGCCGAGCCGGGAAAAGTCAAATCGGCGGAAATCGGCAGCCTAGTAGGCCTCCATTAAGAGATCGGAGCCCAAATCGGAATCCCCAGTCGAATCGGATCGGAATCGGGAGCCACCAAAATCTAATCGAATCGGAAGAATCGAAACGAACCCTGGTTCGGAGGGTTCCTAAACGCTACCCGACGAGGCAAGACGAAACCTTGGGAATTCACTGGCACCCAGCGCGAAGAAGCACAACGGGGGAGCATCGACGATTCGGAAGTGCACCGGTGCTTGGGACCAGCATATCCACAACAATGCACCCACGTCGTGGTTTTGGCAATCTCGCATTCCGCGCGCGCGAGGGTGCGGTTTCATGGAGGAGGACGTGGAGGAGAAGAAGGAGCCAGGAGGAGAAGGAGATGGAGGAGGCTGAGGAAGAAAGAAGGAGGAGGACAGGAGCAGGAGGAGGGGAAGGAGGGGGAGGAGGAAGAGGAGGATGACGAGCAGGAGGGGGAAGCGCGGAGGGCGCGAGCCGCACGGCGATATACCATACCGCGCGAACAAAACGCACACGCGGCGCTCACGGCAGGCGCACGCCCATCGACGCTTCGCAACGGTGCGTGCTCATCGACATGTCCCGTCTCTGCGCGCGCGCGCTGCGTGGAGTCAAAACTGCGTGCGCGTTTCCTCCGCAACGGATGCAGGAGATTGGTGCGATGCGCGTTTCCTGCGTTATGTCCTTACTGCTGTTTTTGTTACGCTCTTTGTTTTTGTTACGCTCTTTGTTGCGTGGAATCGAAATTGCGTGCATGTTTCCTTCGCGACACGTGCAGGGGATTGGTGCGGTGCGCGTTTTTCCTGCGTTCTGGTCTCACTGGTGTCTTGCGTTCCCGCCATTTTCGTTCCTGATCGGTTATTGAGGCCTCGCGCCCAGGAGGGCTCTAGGACGGCCCAAAAATCGCCCAGCCAGGAGCGCCTCAAGAGCGCCCCGAGAGGGTCCCAGGAGGCCATGTTCAGCTTTCGACGGGGGCATTGACATGAAGAAACCCTCCCTCCCTTGATCGATGGTCTCCGAGGTGGCCCTTGGGGACCCTCGAAGCCCCCAAGAGAGCCCCCAGAGAGCCCGCTGAGTGCCCCAAGAGAGTTCCGATGGCTTTCATGATGATCCCAAGGCGGCTCAAGGAGCTCGCCGAAGTCTAGTTTCACCATGTCTCGCCTCCCTGTATTACTGTATGCTGACCTGCGCCCCAACCTCTAGGCAACTCCCCTGGGCATCTTTTCTGGACTATCTCCATCATCTGTTCCTTTTTCTCCTGCCCCTCCCCCTCGTCCTTCAACTCCGCCTCTTATGCGGCTTACTGATTGACCGCGCGCTGTTACAATTCCCAGATCAGGGCAACTCGCGCGGGAATCGTTTCTGGATGGGCTGGCTGGGATTTTTGGTCGCGGCCGCAAGCGAAGGCGCAGGCGGCGTCAGAAGTCGTCCCGGGCTACGGGCGAAACCTAATTATCCAGCGAGCGCAATCACGGCTGCCAGAGCTGCCGCCGAGGGACGCTGGGCGGCGACGGGGGCTGAAAGCGGGCTGCAGGAGCTGCCAGGTGTACCAGGCGGCCGAAATGCAACCATCCCATAGGCGAGACCAGCTGGCGGGGATATTTTTTGCTCGCAACCGCAAGCGGGCAGCCGACCGGCGTCAAAGAGTCAAACGCGAGACAGGCCTACGCGCGCGGGGGGAAATCACACAACAACAGGCGAACGCGGAAAAAGGACGGGGCCGAAACCAAACGCAAGCGGCGCTCGGGCGGCGACGGACGAGGACGACGAAGGGAAGGAGAAACAGGGAACTAACGCAGCGCCGCTCAGAGGCGGGAGATCGAGCCCGGGAACGCCCGGAGCACGTCGTCCTCCAGGTACATGCACCGCGAGAGGAGCCAACGTGTGACGTGAATCCCGCGTCACCAGATGCCAAGCGTCGAAGGTCGTAAACCCTCCAAGAACGAGCATTGAATACCGCGGCCATGAACCAGCGTGCAGAGGAACCAAACGACGGCCCGCGCCAACGAAGAGCGCGCCCAGGAAGAACACGGAAGAGCTGGTGGAGATACGGCAAGCGTCCAGAAATCGGAGCCCATGCGGAGGTCATGCTCGCCAGCACGCACGGCATCCCTCGTGAGCCTGGCGCGCCGCGCCCTGGCCGAAATCACAAGAGGGACTCGAGGGGGACCCAAGGGCGACGAAGGGGGGGGGGGTAGGGAGAGAAGGAACAGGAGGGGAAAAGAGGGGGAGATGAGAAGGAAGGTGGCGCAGAGGCCCACCATTGGTGTACACTGGGACGCCCCCCCGGCACGCACATGGTGTGCCTTGACGAAGTTTTGAGGATGTCTCAGGCGAAACGCCAGTGTACACCTAGTGCGCAAGATGCACAAGCACCAGTGTGCAACGGAGGCGCCGCCCAATAAATGCGAGTTTGATGCGTTGGTTGGATGTCCCTCGCGGCACGTTGCCAGGGGGGTCAACAATGGAGGGCTTACAAATGGCTTCAGAAAACCCAGAATGGCTTCCAAGATGGCACAAGATATCAGAATGTGTTGTACGATAGCCTCCCACGTGCCTCGTAGAGGCCTCAATACCGCCTCAAGACGAATCCGAATTGCCATCAAGCCTTCCAGGGACGCTTCCGAGAGGTAAAACACCCTTCTAAAATTGTAAGGATCCGATGGCTTCTGCTTTCGCGTCTTGTCGCTTCCGATCGGCTCCAGAGCAAAAGATGGCTCCAAGATCGCACAAGAAGATTCAGGAGGAGGCTAAGTGGGCTCCAAGACAGCCCCAGGAGCGCCAGAGAGCGCCTCAAGAGTGCTACAAGACGGCCCCAGAAGGCTAGTTTCAGCCCCCGACGGGGGGCTGACATTAAGAACCCCCCCCTTGTTTCATCGATGCCCGCCAAGGTGGCCCCAAGAGGGTTTTTAAACCCCGAAGCCCTGAGAGAGCGCCGAGAGGGCCTCAAGAGGGTCCCAAGAGAGCCCCAAAGGCTTCCAAAATTGCCCCAAAATGGCTATACAGGGCTCCCTGGTGCGAAACTTCACCGAAATTCGTCTCATTGTTTCACCCTGTTCTCACCGACATCCCTCCTCCAGGCGACTCCCCTGGGCATCGTTCCAGAATGGGCAATGTCCCTCACTGTTTACTCTTTTCCTGCGCGTCCTCCTCCTTCGCCTCCGCCTCTTATGTGGCTTCCTGCTGGACGACATATACCGCTGCGTTTCCCTGACCGGAGCAACTCGCGTAGGGATCGATTCTGGACGGGCTGGTGGGAGCGCGCAGCGTCAATTATTTTCACTCGGTTTCGCCGCGCACCTCACCTGCGGGGCGCATTCACTCCAATTGTTTGTCAGAACCTGGCGGGCGCCATTGCCTGCGCCGCGTCATCACTCCACGTCGCGACGAAACTTCGGCGACGATGCGACGAAGTTGACGATGACGCTTGGACGCAGAACGACGCCCATGTCATCGACGGGCTTGCAAGGGCGACCCCTCACGCACGATTGATCCCGATGCTGCCCTGCTGGCGCGGAAAAAATGTGGGGAGAGTCCAAAACATTGCACTTCCTCTGCCAGTAGGAGTCGAGCGGTCCCGGCATGAACTGGTTTCGCCGGCGCCGGTTTCGCCGGCGCTGGTTTCGCCCCGCTGGTTTCGCCGACGGTTGGTTTCGCCGGAGCTAGCTTTGCCAGCGCTGGCTTCGCCGGCGCTGGTTTCGCCCCGCTGGTTTTGCCAGCGGCTGGTTTCGCCAGCGCTGGTTTCGCTGGCGCTGGTTTGGCCGACGCCGTCGTCGCCGTCGGAATGGCCGTCGCCGCCGTCGTCGCCGTCGTCGTCGGGCGTCGGGCGTCGGACCCGAGCGGGCGGGTCGGGTCGGGCGGGCGGACCTGACCGGGCGGGGCGGGTCGGGCAAGCAGACCCTAACGGGCGGGTCGGGTCGGGCGGGCGGGACATTAAACTGTTGAGCGCGCTCGGCCGAGCACGCGCGAACCCCAACGGGCGGGTCGGGACGGGCGGGCGGACCCTAGCGGGCGGGTCGGGTAGGGCCGAGGGCGGACCCTAACGGGCGGGTCGGGTCCGCCGGGACAATATAAAGTGTGGGGCACGCTCGACTGAGCTTGAGCGAACCCTAGCGGGCGGGTCGGGCCGGGGGGGCGAACCCTAACGGGCGGGTCGGGTCGGGCGGGCGGATCCCAAGAGGCGGGTCGGGTCGGGCAGGCGGGCCCTAACGGACGGATCGGCTCTGGAGGGACAAGTAATTTGGGGACACGATCGACCGAGCACGCGCGAACCCTAACAGGCGGGTCGGGTCGGGCGGGCGGACCTTAGCGGGCGGGTCTGGTCGGGTCGGGCGGGCGAACCCTGGCGGGCGGGTCGGGTCGGGCGGGCGTATCCCAACGGGCGGGTCGGGTCGGACGGGGGGGACATTGAAGTGTGGGGGGCGCGATCGACCGAAAACGCGTGAACCCTAACGGGTGGGTCGGGTCGGGCGGGCGGACCCTAGCGGGCGGTTTGGGTCGGGTCGGGCAGGCGGATCTTAACGGGTGAGTCGGGTCGGGCCCCTAGCGGGCGGGTCGGGTCGGATGGGCGGGGGCGGACCCTAGCGGGCGGGTCGGGTCGGGCTGGCGGACCTTAACGGGTGGGTCGGGTCAATTGGGTCGGGCGCGTCGGGTCGGGCGGGCGGACCCCAGCGGGCGGCGGGTCGGGCCAGGCGGGCGGATCTTAACGGGTGGGTCGGGGTCGGGCGGGCGGGGACGGGTCGGGTCGGGCGGGCGAACCTTAGCGGGGGGGTCGGGTCAGGTCGGGCGGGCGGATCCCAAAGGGCGGGTCGGGTCGGGCGGGCGGGACATTGAAGTGTGGGGCACGCTCGACCGAACACGCCCGAACCCTAACGGGCGGGTCGGGTCGGGTCGGGCGAGCGGGGACGGGTCGGGTCGGGCTGGCGGACCCTAGCGGGCGGGTCGGGTCGGGTCGGGCGGGCGAAACCTAGCGGGCGGGTCGGGTCGGGTCGGGCTGGCGGACCTCAACGGGTGGATCGGGTCAATTGGGTCGGGCGGGTTGGGCCAGGCTGGCGGACCCTAGCGGGCGGGTCGGGTCAGGTCGGGCGCGCGGACCCCAACGGGCGGGTCGGGTCGGGCGGATCGGACACTGAAGTGTGTGTGTGTGTGTGGCTCGGTCGACCGAGCACGCGCGAACCCTAACGGGCGGGTCGGGTCGGGCGGGCGGACCCTAGCGGGCGGGTCGTCGGATCGGGCAGTTTCGCCGACGGCACCTGGTTTCGCCGATGGTTTCGCTGGGCGGCGAAACCGGCCGGGCGAGATCAGC